ATAATAATAATTTTTATTTATATAGCGCCTTTCCAAAACCCAAGGTCAAGGTCAATTGTAAGTAAATATTAAATAGTATTAAATCAAATATAACTAATATAAAAAATATAAATATGATGCAATTAATAACAATAATAATAATAATTTTTATTTATATAGCGCCTTTCCAAAACCCAAGGTCAATTATAAGTAAATATTAAATAGTATTAAATAATAACAAATATCAATAAATATATATTAAGTTTCTTGAGCTATGAAAGAGCAACTTTTGAGCAATAATATTTTACACAAAATAAAAATATATTAAAATTCATTTAAAAACTGAGACTTAATATCTTCTGATTTTTTCATTAAAAGTATCTCCTCTAGAGTTGATATTCAGTCAAAAAGCAAATAAAACACTTCTCATCATATAGACTTTTTTTTAATTTACAGAGAAACAACTCAGATTCACTTAATAAATTATATAAATAATATAAATATATAAATATGATAAATATCAATAAATATTGTATATAATTCATATAATCAATATTATTTTAGAATTAATAAAACAGTGTAAAAATCTACATATATAATGCATAATATCAAAATATTTTTCTTAAAAACTTTCATATTTACTTTCTTTCTGCTCCACAGGTGGGAGATCAGATGAAGTTGCTGCATAACTGCTGGAGTGAGCTGCTTGTGCTGGACTACATCGCCAGACAGTTGCATCATGGGAAAGAGGACAGTGTGCTTCTCATTACTGGACAGGAGGTAACACACACACTCAAAACAGACACAATATAGGCACAAATATACACTTGATTTGTTCATTTCATCTAGTATATGTCTATGCGTGTATCAGGTTGAGCTTGCGTCTTTACTGGCCCAGGCAGGGGTCACTCTGAGCGGGATGATACAGAGAGGTCAGGAGCTGGTGCACCGTCTACAGGAGCTTCAGCTGGACCGCAGAGAAACCGCCTGCCTCAAATACCTCATCCTCTTCAACCCTGGTGAGAATATCAACTTAAACCTCAGTTACACTTCAAAATGGAGAGAATTGACTTAGTTTTGCAAATAGGCCAATTTTAGGGTTTAGTGTTCTTGAATAAAACTAAAGCGTTAAAGGGATAGTTCACCCAAAAATGAAAATTCTGCATTCTACAGTTGGTGGTTGCCATTGACTTCCATAGTATTTTTTTTCCTACTATGGAAGTCAATGGCAACCACCCACTGTTTGATTACCAGCAGTCTTCAAAATATCTTCTTTTATGTTCCACATAAGAAAGCAACTCGTACAGGTTTGGAACGATGTGAGGGTGAGTAAATGACAGAATTTTCATTTTTGGGTGAACTATCCCTTTAATGTGATTATTAAACTTGGGGAAAAATACTGGGAGATATAATTGTCTGCACATATAATGTTAGTCTAGTGTTTTGGTTTGTTTTTGCACTAAATGCATTCATAATTTAGTTCTTGTCTTTTTAACTATTGTTACTTTTGAACTAGTGTTCCATATTTTAATGAGCTTTGATATGATTGGCCGATGTCTTTCCATGTGAACTATTAGGTTTGCATGCACAGGTATATACTCTACAGGTTAAAAGTTTTATTTTAAATTTTTTTTAATTATTACAATTTAAAAGAACTGTTTTCTAATTGAATATATTTTAAAATGTAATTTATTCCTGTGATGCAAAGCTGAATTTTCAGCATCATTACTCCAGTCTTCAGTGTCAGGTGATCCTTCAGAAATCCTTCTAATATGCTGATTTGCTGCTCAAGAATAACTTTACTATTAACATTACTATCAATGTTGCGAACAGTTGCGCTGCTTAATATTTTCCTGAAAACTGAGATGCTTTTTTCAAGGTTCTTTGATGAATAAAATGTTAAAAACAGCATTTATTTCAAATCGAAATCTTTTGTAACATTATAAATGTCTTTGCATTCACTTTTGCTCAGTTTAATGACCTTGATGACTAAAAGAAAAAAAAAAAAGACTGACCCCCAAAACCTTTGAACTGTAGTCTGTGAATGTGCTTTTGTTTGTGACCTTATAACCAAGATGATTTTTGCAGTTTATATTTTCCATAGTAAACTGTAAAACTTTTTATTTCAGAAAACCAAAAAAGTGTCACATTTAATTCAAGACTTTTTATTAACCTTGTGTCAAATCGCCTAAGCATGTGTCTTAGATTGTGTTAGCGTTTCAAATGTTTTGCGATTGGCTGACGGAATGATAACAGTTATGTGCACGCATCATTCGATAGGATGATCATTTTTATTTCAATAATATTTCCCTTAATAAGTTCCGCTAAAGTGTTTTGAGGAGTTTTAGTTCTTAACTAATTCCAGAGGCCAAAACGACTTCTCATTAATGAGGAAGAGGTGTGAAATTTCCTCTCTTTCTGTGTCTGTCTGCCTCTGTTCAGCAGTGCTGCTGCTGCTGATTTAATAGTTTCATATAAAAGACATTTTCATAGGCTCGGCGTCAGCGCCCGTCACCCCGTCCTCTGCGTCTTATTGAGCGTATCTATATGTCCTCCGCTGGGGTTTGACCTAGGCTAATTAACTTCTCAAAAGATGAATATTGCATTGATTTCGAGCCCCGCTAACGAGGACGCACGTGTATCGCGCTATTTGTCGTGAGTGGCAGCATGCTTTGTGTGGCACAGGGCGCGTGGTAACTGGGTAATGGGCTTAATTAAAATGAAAGGCTGCTGAATCGCTCCTGTTTACAAAGGCAGGGATCCAGACCCCGTATCCACTCGCAGACGCACACACGCCATCTATAGCGAGACTCTGGCTCAAAAGAAGTTTAATGGATTGACCCCATATTGGTCCGAGGCCCTCTCTTTCTCAGCTTCAGGAGAAAATGCTCCTTTATTGTTCGCGTTCGCTTAAGTGAGAGCAATTTAGCGCCGACAAAAGCTGCTTTTCTTAATAAGAGTGCCTGAGGGCTGTGTGTGTGTGTGTGTGTGTGTGTGTGTGTGTGTGTGAGTGAGTGTTTGTGTGCATTCAGAAAGTGCTTGAAAACCCATTTTCTACTCATGCGGTCTTTATTGAGACTATGTTGGTGCATCTCTGTGTTATTTTAGTACCGTTGATATACTGTTATAGTTTTTGTTCACATTTTGAATTGGATTATATTTTCATATTTTCTGTTTTCACTTTAGTTTTAGTTAAAGTTTTGATAACTGACTGCTGTTTTTTTTTAAACTTTTATTAGTTTTTGTTTTGTTTAAAAAATATGTATAGTATTTATTAATTTTATTTAGTTTTAGTTAGGCTCTTTTGCTTCAAACTCAAAATGGCAGCTATAGCTGAAAAAAACTAAAATGTTTATTTTTATGTTGATATAGGCTAGTTTTTAATAATGTTTATTTATTAATCATTATTAATAATTTTTGTTATTTTAGTATAGGCCTAAACAAAAAACAGCAATGTTACATTGAAAACGAACTAAAATTGTTATTAGTTTTTAAAAATATGTCTACATAGTATTTATTCATTTTCATTTATTAGTTTTAGTTTTAGTTATTTTAGTACTTCAACTTAAACTAAACAAAAATTAAATATGTTGCATTGGCAACTAGTTGAAATTGTTATTACATATGCCAACATGTATAAAATATATTTTTTATTTATTAGTTTTTGTTTATTTATTATTAAACTAAACCAAAAATCAAAAAAATTTATTTTGCAGCTGATTATTATTATTATTATATATTTTTTATATTCTTATTTTATTATTATTTTTGTCCATTTTAGCTTATTTAGTTTCAGTTATTTTAGTACTTCAACTCAAAATGAAATGAAAATAAGAAATGTTGCCTTGGCAACTAGCTGAAAGAAAGTTGAATTTTTTGTATTTTGTTTTATTTCAGTTAGCATTTTTTAATTAATGTTTTGTGTACAATTTATAAATATGTATATTTTCTTTCTATATTTATATTAGAAGTAATGTAAATGTTTTTATGGTTTTAGTTTTAGTTAATAACCCTGCTGCCCTGCTCTCTCTAACTGCAGATGTGAAGCTGTTGGAAAACCAGCCTTACGTGGAGAGCATGTACGAGCAGGTGAACGCCGCGCTGTTGGAGTACACACTGTGTGCGTATCCGCAATTCCCGGACAGGTTTAGCCAGATTCTGCTGCGCCTTCCTGAGCTCAGAGCACTCAGCACACAAGCTGAAGACTACCTGTGCTACAAACACCTGAGCGGAGAGGTGCCGTGCAACAACCTCCTCATAGAAATGCTGCATGCCAAGAGAACCTGCATCTGACACACACACACACACACACACACAGTCAGTCACACAGTCACACACACACACACACAGTCTCACACACACACACACACACACACACACACACACACACATTTCCAGGCCCGATTCCTTTGCAGATGACACTGTTATTGACTAGATGTTTTGCAGCACACAGAAAACCTCATCAACCATGCCACTGTGTTTCTGAAAGGAAAGAGGGGAGATGTCAGTGTTATTGACTGTGCTGTGGTGATGACGTATTTTTGTAGGCCAAACAAGAAGTCAGCATCACCCTGGTTCCTTTGACAAAAACCCAATACAATTTTTCTATTGGTTTTTGCAGAAAATAAGCTCTGTGATTCTTATACATTTTATTCACAAATGAACAACAGTTTGAAGCCTAAATGCAATCACTTGAAGTAAAAAGCTAAACGCAGTCTATACACAAGCTACATGACTTCAGCTCTTTCAGTCCTTATTTTAAAAAACATTTTCCTTGAAAGTTAGAATACTTTGCAAGAGTGCAGTTACAAACACAGTGAGGCTGTGAAAGCGACTAGTGAGTAGATGAGTTAACTTGCTCGATGTGATGACCTCGAATGTCCTCAACAATTTCTGTAGTCCCATTTAGCAAATAGTTAGCCAGCACCTTTTTCAATCAAAATGGTATTTTATGTTGTAGAATAAAACATGAAAGTATATTGAGCTTGTGTTCAATACAGACTTTATTTCAGGCATTCATGCAGAAGCCCATTTAAAAACCCATTGACTTCAGAACGATGGAACCGAAAATGCTACGTAAAATACTTGTTTCCAGGATTTGGCCTACAAAAATACGTCATCTCTTCAGCACTCTATTTAAAAAAGCAACAGATTGTGCCTTCCCTCTCAACACACACGCACACACCAAGAAGCACTTATTCTTTTTTTAAATCAGTAATCAAAAGATAAGGTGAAGCACAGTCACAGCCAAGAACCGCCCACTTAGGCTACGTTCACACGACAATGATGGTCAAAAACAGAAAAGTTTTTCCTTTGCGTGTTTAAAAAGTTTCACGTATACACGACAACGTTTTCAAAACGATTCGCGTTTACACATATCCGCGAAAACGGCCAAAAACGCTGTATTACGTATGCCAGGCCAGTAGTTGGCGCTGTCACCATGTTAGTAAACAGTACCTGTAGGGAAGTGACGATTATATGTTGTATATGATGCGTCTCCGCTGTTGGTTGTAATATTGGTGAAGTAAATCCACACTTTGCTAAAGAAGCGTTAGCAAACTCTTGAGCAGCAACAACAGTACCATATACTCCGCCATTGTTGTATATGTTTGTTCGCGCTTGCCTTTAAAATTGACACGTACTGCACATGTCTACATACCTAACACGTACTATGCACACGCATGACGTCACCGTTTGCAGATGACACTGTTATTGACTAGATGTTTTGCAGCACACAGAAAACCTCATCAACCATGCCACTGTGTTTCTGAAAGGAAAGAGGGGAGATGTCAGTGTTATTGACTGTGCTGTGGTGATGACGTATTTTTGTAGGCCAAACAAGAAGTCAGCATCACCCTGGTTCCTTTGACAAAAACCCAATACAATTTTTCTATTGGTTTTTGCAGAAAATAAGCTCTGTGATTCTTATACATTTTATTCACAAATGAACAACAGTTTGAAGCCTAAATGCAATCACTTGAAGTAAAAAGCTAAACGCAGTCTATACACAAGCTACATGACTTCAGCTCTTTCAGTCCTTATTTTAAAAAACATTTTCCTTGAAAGTTAGAATACTTTGCAAGAGTGCAGTTACAAACACAGTGAGGCTGTGAAAGCGACTAGTGAGTAGATGAGTTAACTTGCTCGATGTGATGACCTCGAATGTCCTCAACAATTTCTGTAGTCCCATTTAGCAAATAGTTAGCCAGCACCTTTTTCAATCAAAATGGTATTTTATGTTGTAGAATAAAACATGAAAGTATATTGAGCTTGTGTTCAATACAGACTTTATTTCAGGCATTCATCCAGAAGCCCATTTAAAAACCCATTGACTTCAGAACGATGGAACCGAAAATGCTACGTAAAATGCTTGTTTCCAGGATTCGGCCTACAAAAATACGTCATCTCTTCAGCACTCTATTTAAAAAAGCAACAGATTGTGCCTTCCCTCTCAACACACACGCACACACCAAGAAGCACTTATTCTTTTTTTAAATCAGTAATCAAAAGATAAGGTGAAGCACAGTCACAGCCAAGAACCGCCCACTTAGGCTACGTTCACACGACAATGATGGTCAAAAACAGAAAAGTTTTTCCTTTGCGTGTAAATAACTATTCAGATGTGTTTGTGTCTCTATGCGTTCTAATGTGTGAGTGTGTAAGAGAGTGTTTGTGTGTGTGCGACTCTTATGAAATGTCATCTCAATATTAAGCCCCTCTCAAGCTTAGGCCAAGCTGATTATGATATCTCAGCATGTTTCATTTTTGTATAGTGGAGTGTCTGATTGGTCAAGTTCTCTTTCATGTAACATGTTTGTGTTAATGACATTTGTTATGAATGTGCTTAACTGTGTTGTTTCAAATGAATAAATACAAATTATTTAAACCAGATATTAGTTTCCTAGGGCGTGGGTTTGATTTTGGCATTGGTGGGGACATTTAATGGTTTGATCAAAATTATTGCTAGGGATAGTTTAGTGGTCGCTGGATATTGGTATCCCTACTAAATTCTATGCTCTTGAAAATCACAACAAGCGATGTCTGACTTTGGAAACTATAGTTCTCTCCTTAAATACGAAGAAGTCAAGCAACAGATGAATGAGTTATTTCTAATTTCACAAAAAAAGCTTATAGACGCAATTATATGTCAGACATCGAAGTGAGTTGCAGTTTTTGCCACTCTTCTGAGGAAGACATCATTCACTTGTTTTGGCAATGAAGAATTTTGGTCAGATTTTTTTTTTATGTTAATCCAATCTCATTGTGTGTGTGACTTTTCTGTTTTAAAGATGTTTTCTTTGGATTGTTTGACTACTTGAAAGAGAATAGGCTATAGGAAAATATCAGTTAATTTCCTGCTAGCTAAATTTCACATACAAAAATCTGGCTCTAAACCTCTTTTTCTTTATTCAGAGTTGATCTAAACAAGTACATGGAAACTATTCAAAGTTCTGCATCTCTATAATATGTTCATCCTATTCTTATGGTGAAAAAAGGTTAGGCTACTATAGAGTTAAACCATGGTTTTGCTACACTAACCATAGTTTAATCATGGTACTTGTAGTAGGCTAAACTACAAAAAAAAAGTTTTACTGTAATAAAACCATGGTTAACTTCCTTAAGGGATTTGTATTTGTATGTTTTCTTTCTTTTTTCTTTGTTTTCTTTTTATAACTGTAGCGATGCCATAGAAGAACCATTTTTGGTTCCACAAAGAACCATTCAGTCAAAGGTTCTTTAAAGAACCATCTCTTTCTTACCTTTTTGTAATCTGAAGAACCTTCTTTCGCCACAAAGAACCTTTTGTGAAACAGAAAGGTTCTTCAGATGTTGAAGGTTCTTTATGGAACCATTTAGATAAAAAGGTTCTTCTATGGCATCGTGAAGAACCTTTATTTTTAAGAGTGTAGGTATTTCAATAATTACAAACTAAAGCACAAATGAAACGATAAGATGAAATCTAATGATTTCCTCAAGAGAGGCCAGTAAACGAGCTAAGCAACCTTCATTAACATTCCCTTTTTAAGATGGAAAGCGAGAGGGAGAAAGAAAGAAAGAAAGAGGGAAGGCCTCAATCAACACAAAGCACACCCATAATAGCTCTGCCATAAAACCTAGTGAGCTGCCTACATAGACAGCATCATATACGCTTCTTATGAAATGTAATCTCAAGGCAGCACACTTTTGAACAGAGCTCTTTATGCCTGTATTTATCAGACACTGCACACTTAAACACCAGAAGATTGTACGTTTAAAAAGAGCTGAGTGTGTGTGCATATGCTGAGGAAAGGGGAAGTAAATTAGGACTTGCAATTCTGCCTTAACACTAACACTGCTGATCCTGTGAAGCTGAGAGAATCAATGGGCATAAATAACTATTCAGATGTGTTTGTGTCTCTATGCGTTCTAATGTGTGAGTGTGTAAGAGAGTGTTTGTGTGTGTGCGACTCTTATGAAATGTCATCTCAATATTAAGCCCCTCTCAAGCTTAGGCCAAGCTGATTATGATATCTCAGCATGTTTCATTTTTGTATAGTGGAGTGTCTGATTGGTCAAGTTCTCTTTCATGTAACATGTTTGTGTTAATGACATTTGTTATGAATGTGCTTAACTGTGTTGTTTCAAATGAATAAATACAAATTATTTAAACCAGATATTAGTTTCCGGGTTTGATGGTTTGATTTTGGCATTGGTGGGGACATTTAATAGTTTGATCAAAATTATTGCTGCGTTTAGTGGTCGCTGTATCCCTACATCCCTACTAAATTCTATGCTCTTGAAAATCACAACAAGCGATGTCTGACTTTGGAAACTATAGTTCTCTCCTTAAATACGAAGAAGTCAAGCAACAGATGAATGAGTTATTTCTAATTTCACAAAAAAAGCTTATAGACGCAATTATATGTCAGACATCGAAGGGAGTTGCAGTTTTTGCCACTCTTCTGAGGAAGACATCATTCACTTGTTTTGGCAATGAAGAATTTTGGTCAGATTTTTTTTTTATGTTAATCCAATCTCATTGTGTGTGTGACTTTTCTGTTTTAAAGATGTTTTCTTTGGATTGTTTGACTACTTGAAAGAGAATAGGCTATAGAAAATATCAGTTAATTTCCTGCTAGCTAAATTTCACATACAAAAATCTGGCTCTAAACCTCTTTTTCTTTATTCAGAGTTGATCTAAACAAGTACATGGAAACTATTCAAAGTTCTGCATCTCTATAATATGTTCATCCTATTCTTATGGTGAAAAAAGGTTAGGCTACTATAGAGTTAAACCATGGTTTTGCTACACTAACCATAGTTTAATCATGGTACTTGTAGTA